AGTGAGACGACTCGTCCACCGTCCCAATAACAGAGACCTGGTTAGCAGGGAGTGAGACGACTCGTCCACCGTCCCAATAACAGAGACCTGGTTAGCAGGGAGTGAGACGACTCGTCCACCGTCCCAATAACAGAGACCTGGTTAGCAGGGAGTGAGACGACTCGTCCACCGTCCCAATAACAGAGACCTGGTTAGCAGGGAGTGAGACGACTCGTCCACCGTCCCATAGCGCCACCTACCTCTCCTCCTGCGCCATCCCCCTGTGGATGGCGATAGCAGGGAAGTTCTGCTCCACCAACAGCTGGGACAGAGCAACGCAATGATTGACGGACTTCACAAAGATCACCACCTGTCACGGGAACCAAAGGAGGAGCTTCAGCTTTAACCCTTGATGGCTGCTGACCTGAACGTGCTCCAGATGTACCTGGTTGAACTCGAGCACATCGAGGAGGTCAAACAACTTCCTGTTCTTCTCGCTGTCCTTCAGCTTGCAGTAATACTGCTGTAAGCCATGCAGCGTCAGCTTGGTCTCATCGTCCACAAACACCTCCATGGGCTGCATAGAGGGAGGACATCCACCATTACTCATGAAGAATAATCAGCATGAAAAGAAAAGGATGAAACGCTGGTATATGTATATATATATATATATATATATATATATATATATATATATATATATATATATATATACATATATATATATATATATATATATATATATATATATCGTTTTTCTCATAGGCGAAGCGTTTCCACTCCAGAGCAGAAGGTGGCGGTACTGCGACCAAAGCCAACCACCAGTAGTAAACAAGAAGGAGAAGAAGAAGCGAAGCAGCGTAGCCGGGTGTAGTAGAAAACAATCAGTTGTTGTGGAGAATTGTGTGGGTATGGCGAGTGGGAAAGAACAGGAGCTGGAAGACGCGCCAGCAGCACTTTATAGGTCTGCTGTATGGGACCTCTTTGCATTTAGAGTGACCTACGATGACGGCGGGAAGAAAGCTGTGGATAAAAGTGCAACAGTGTGCAAGCATTGTGCAACACGTTTTGTTTATGCTAACAGCAACATGCAACCCTGATTTCACTCACTCACATCCTGCATGAATTTGCGGCAGACGGGACGAATATCTTTGCTTAGAGTTGCACTGAACATCATGACCTGCTTCTCATAAGGCGTCAGTCTGAAGATTTCCTGCACGTCGTGCCTCATGTCTGAAGGAAATAAAATATATCAAAGAGTAGTGGATATTAGTCCTAATTAAGGCGTCAGTAACTCTTAATCGGTCAGTGAACGTACCCAGCTGCTCCAGCATCTTATCACACTCATCAAGCACAAAGTGTTTGATGTTCTTCACACTGAGGGTCTTGTTCCTGATGAGGGCCAGCGTACGCCCAGGGGTTCCTACCACGATGTGGGGGCAGTTTTTCTTCAACACCTCCTCGTCCCTCTTGATGGGCATGCCGCCGAAGAACACGGACACCTTGACGCTGGGCATGTATTTGGAGAAGCGCTCATACTCTTTGCTAATCTGGAAGGCCAGTTCTCGAATATGGCACATCACAAGAACAGAGACCTGCAACAGACATGGAGAAGGTCTTTATGTTGTTCTGCTAGAACAGGAAATATCCCTGAAGCTGCTGTTTCCTGGTCTGAAGGAAATTTCATAAAAATCCTTCTCACATATAAAGCCTTAAATGGCCAAGCTCCATCTGATATCAGAGATCTGATTGTTCCTTATGTTCCTAACAGAGCACTTCGCTCTCAATCTGCAGGTTTACTAGTGGTTCCTAGAATTTCTAAAAGTAGAATGGGAGGCAGATCTTTTAGTTCTCAGGCTCCTCTCCTGTGGAACCAACTACCAGTTTTAGTCCGTGAGGCAGACACCCTGTCTACTTTTAAGGCTAGGCTTAAAACTTTCCTTTTTGATAAAGCTTATAGTTAGAGTGGCTCAGGTTATCCTGATCTATCTCTATAGTTCTGCTGCTATAGGCTTAGACTGCTGGAGGACATAGGGACCCCCATTTCATCATTCTGCTTCATTCTCTCTCTATTCTCCCACTCTGCAGAATCTGTTAGTTCAATCTCTAACCTTCTGCTCTCTCTGCTTTTCCTCAGAGTAGCTTCATCTGGTCTGTTCCTGTTTTGCTGTGACTCCATCCTGGAGAGAAATATCAGCTGTGCTGCTGCCATCAACACATTTGTTTCTAGATGTTGGAGCTTGGCCTGTTTTCCAGTGTAGTCCTGTTTCTCTGACTGTGACTAACTGGATGTGCTCTCTTCATCCTCTGACATGGGAGCTGGCTCGGAGCTCGTCTGCCTGGCTGTGTGTTTCCTGGACGGGGGGGGGGGGGGGGGCCTGTGGAGCTGGTTGACAGTTGCCTTTTGTATCTATGCTTCTTTTTCTATGTCTGCTTCTGTCTCCTTGAACCCCAGTGGGCCTCAGCAGATGGCCGCTCACACTGAGCCTGGTTCTGCTGGAGGTTTCTTCCTGTTCAAAGGGAGTTTTTCCTCTCCACTGTCGCTACAAGCATGCTTAGTGTGAGGGATTGCTGAAGAGTCAATGAGTCGATGCAATCAGCTGGTTTTCCTTAGATAGAAAACTTTGAATCAATCTGACTGGATGATCTGGTGAACTGGAAAGTGACCTGAGATGACATGATGTGAATTGGAGCTATAGAAATACACTGAATAGAAGTGAATTAAAAACCAACGCACCTGGCCGTCCACAGGTTCAATTTGCTGCAGCTTTGCCAACACGAACACGGCCGTCTTTCCCATGCCAGACTTGGCCTGACACAGAATATCCATCCCCAGGATAGCTTGAGGAATGCACTCATGTTGAACTAAAAATGGAGAAAATTATAAAAGAGAAAGAGATTTTAATTCTTAAAAAGTAGCAGAAACTAGAATTAAGAAATGGGTTGGTGTGGAGTAAAAACATGGAGGACTGCTGTTATAAGGAGATCCATCTGACCAGAGAGAGATAGATTAACCTGACAGGGAACGGCCTGGATGAACTAAAGTTGATTTTCCTCCAAATGTTTGCGTGTGAGAAAGTTCAGATGTTTGTAAGATATAAATGTATATTCTGAGGTTGCCTCAGTCAGAGCTCTATCTCTCCGTCTGAGGAAGTTAAATAAATCTGAATGCGTCTGTCTCAGCTCCCTAACTCCACAGTTGTTTGTTTAAATACGGCTAAGATTAATTGGTTGAGGATTATTTTGAAGATTTCAGTGGACTATTTGAAGAAGGGCCGGCTACCTTCTGAAGGATGTTCGAAGCCGCAGTCACCGATGGCGCGCAGCAGCTCTGGTTTGAGCAGAAAGTCTCTGAACCCTGAGCTGTGAATGGATACGTAGGATCATTTCACCTCCTTCTTGTTGGCCGGGGGGCCGCTCTCTGGGAGGCCCTGGGGCTCGTCATCCTCCTCGTAGTTCAGAAGCTCGTTATCAACATCATTTTCTGCCATCTGGATCACAGTCGGAGCAAAACAATGGGGGGGGTCCACTTTCAATCTGCACATTTAGATTTAATCACAGCATTTTGAAACATAAAATAAATCACTATTTTATCTTGGAAATCCTAAAATGACATTAAATCCAGGGTAAAAGATACACTACATTCATTTTTAACTGATGTTAGAAACCAACCTCTGCTTCAATAATGGAGACGATCCTCAGTCCAATAAAGTTTAAAAAATCCACTGGACGTTGTTTCCAAGTTTGAAGACCTTTCTCTTCCATCCAGGAACATTTTTCAATTCTAAATGTCAGAAATAGCGTTTAGTTCCAGGTTTTATCCAGCAGCCCAACAAAGCCTGGTTTTAGTTTAGGAAACATGAAAATTTCAATTCAAACATTTTGAACTGAAAAAGTTTCCTGGATGGGAAGCAAAACGTCAAAGTTCAGAGGATTGGGGGTTTTTTTTGGAACAACCTGCTTTAATGTTTAAAAACAGGATCAATAACGATGTTATTTAAACTTTTACAGGTTTAGTTCTCTAACAATCATTATAGAGACAAACAGAAACCTTTAAAGAGGAAATTAAACGTTGAACCAAACTGACTTCATTCACCAGATTGTGTCTGACTATCATCAATAATTATGATACAAATGTGAAAAATATCACTGTCAAAGAAAAAACGGAGCTTTGTTTATATTCTTTGGTAAGATAAGTTGGTCAGCACTAAAGATAAGAATGCAAAGACATTTCCACCTATTAAAATGCAGCAGTGATGTTCAGACATAAAGCTGACTCCACATTGCCCATGTCTGCATGGAGCGACCGGGAGTTTTAGGAATAAAACCTGCAGGATGGTGCAGGAGAACACGGACCTCGGGATGAGCCGACTGCCTGCCTTGGAAACTGGGAATCACGGTAAGAAATTAAGCATCTCTCTGGAGGTTTGGAGCCGCTGTGAGAGCCGGTGGGTGAGGGATCCTGGCTGCTGATTGGCTTAGAAAAATGTTTGTTATTAAGAGGCTGGAATAAAGGTGGAGAACTAAGCTCTAGTGGTGGACGCTTGCTTTGGAGTCAGGAGCATATTTGATGATTCAATACCTGCCAGCATAACTGTTAGTGTCTCTGCTCTGCCTGCTCAGCGGGTTTTCTTTCCCTGTCATTAAGGCTGATTGTTGCCGCTGACCCGCTGTCACACCTTGACGATATAGACCCGCATATACCTGACGTACGGAAAATCTGGCAAAAACGCTGGAATACGTGGATTAAGTTATGAGAACGCTGAAACACATCGACACACAGCAAAGACGGCGTCGGCTCATCCATGGGCCGTCAGTTCCAGGTCAGTTATCTGATGGTTGACATCCGTTCAGAGTCGGTTCCTCATCAGAATAACTGAGAGGAAAACGATGAAACGACGAGAAAATAAAAATAAAAATGACTGAAACGTTTCTATTCCTTTCAGGCTCCAACATTCTGGATCATTTTCATCATAAACTACAAAAGATTTTTAGCAGATGCATCATGTAGACAGAAACGTTTTTAAACCCAGTTTAGTGAGTCAGTGAGTTAGGAACAGCTCTATGGGGTCCCTGCAGCACCCACGCCTCGCCGTTAGTGGACCCGTCACTAGTGGCATCTGATTGAGTTACCAGGCATCTGTAACCATGGCCTTTATAGAGCAACATCCAAGCTAACAAGCTTTAAGCACGACCCCAGGCACCATGGTTGGAGAAAAGACAAATACATCTGCTACCTTAAATCTACGGTTAAACATAGAGGTGGAGGAGTGATGATATGGGCTTACTGCATAGCCATGGAGCTGGGAACATAATAGTTTTGAGAATAAGGTTATATTACGATAATTACGTCTTAATATTATGAGAAGCCGGTGTGCTAAAATATTTCCTTAATTGTCAAACTGATGCCAAAGTATAACTTTACATGATTCTCCACATTCCTCTCATGTTTTTATGACTTTATTCTCGAAAATTAAACCTCTATCCGGGCCCTAATGGTCTGTGGTACATCTGTAAGGAGTAGATCTAATGATGTTCAGCCAGCTGGAGGTGAAAGCTGCGCATTTAATGACAATCAGAAGACCTGCTGCTCCTTTATAAGCTGAGCTTAAAGCTAGTTAGGCTGGCTAATGGCAGCAGGCTCACAGAAGCTAAACAATCTGTTAGCCTCCATTACAGAAATAAATGATATGTTCTACTGTGTAACGGCACAGGTGGGCGGACAGGTGAGCCCAGTGACGTATCCGCCACAGTGCGGTCCTCCTGCTTCATTCATCCACACCGGTTAGCATGCTAGCACAGCCTAGCATTGTGCTCTGGATGCATCACCCTCCATCACAGATATTTAGCAGCTAGATCAAACCAGAAGAGACAAAAACTCTCCAACATGAGCAGCGGAAGTTTAGCCAAAACTCGCTGTTTATCCCGAATTAAACATGAATGACGTCACTGCGCCAAACACGTCAGTTAGCGGAGCAAACGGTTAAATTCCTCTACAGTTTGAGTTTCCGTTTGGTTAAAAATCTGCTGAGAAAAGTGAAAACATGAGTTTGTTTACCTTCCGCTGAGCTGCTCTGCTGTTATTCAGCCTCACCTGAGCTGCTAGCTAACGGCTACTCACGAGCAGGAGAGCTGCGTTAGCGAGGGCTGCCCACTTCCGGTAGATGGCGCTGTAGTCACGCAGAATTAACCGGGTGGAACCCAGACAATTACTGCGGAGCAGGATTAGGGCCACTGAATAAATAAAAACAGTTAACTGATTTTAAAATATTGTTTCACTTTAATATGGGAAAAAACAGTCAGACCCTTTTACTCAAATCCTGACTTTAATAACAGACTTCTGACTTTTTTTTTCTCAAAATTCTAACTTTAATCTCAAAATTCTTACTTTTTTCTTCAGAACTCTTTTTTTCTCGAAATTCTGACTTTAATGTCAGAATTCTGACTTTTTTCTCAAAATTCTGATTTTATTCTCAGAATTCTGACTTTAATGTCAGAATTACTAACCTTATATTCTGACTTTATGTCAGAATTTTCACCTTTTCCCTCAAATTCTGACTTTAATGTCAGAATTCTGACTTTTTTCCAAGAAATCGAATTTTAATCTCAGAATTCTTAATTTTTTCTTCTGAACTTTGAATTTAATTTTAACTTTAATCTCACAATTCTGAATTTTTTCCTCAAATTCTGACTTTAATTTTAGAATTCTTAATTTTTTTTTCTCTGAATTATGACTTTAATCTCAGAATTCTGGATTTAAACTCAGAGTTCTAACTTTAATCTCAGATTTCTGACTTTTTTCCAAGAAATCAAACTTTAATCTCAGAATTAATCACTTTTTTCCCCAAATTCTGATTTTATGTTCAGAATTCTTACTTTTTTCTTCAGAACTCTGAATTTAATTTTAGAAATTTAACTTTAATCTCAGAATTCAGTTTTTTTCCCTCAAATTCTGACTATAATCTCAGAATTCTCACTTTTTTTTCTCAAAATTCTGATTCTATTCTCAGAATTCTCCCTTTTTTTCTCATAATTCTGATTTTATTGACCGTAATTCTGACTTTTTTTCTTTCAAATTCTGGCTTTCAGCTCAGTATTCTTACTTTTTTCCCTCTGAATTCTGACTTTAATCTCAGAATTCTGACTGAAATCTGACAGCTAACAAACATGTTAGCATCAAGCTGTCGCCATGTGTGTTTTAGAGACTAGCTCTCTTGTTTTAATCACCTTCTGCTCTTCCATTAATCAAATAGCATCACCATGAGTGTGTCACTGGCCCTCCCAAACAACTCACATCTTTGTCAGTGAAGCTGAGAGCTCCACATCTCTGCCTTCGTGTTGCCCATCTACATTAAGATCCAAAATTCTGAGATTAAAGTCAGAATTCTGAGAAAAAAAGTAAGTCAAAAGTTAGTCCCTAATTCTCTTCTTTAGAATTACATTGGTCACTGATTTTCAAACAATATTGGCTGTGTTCGAATTCATGGGCTGCGTCCTCTGAAGGCCAGATTCGAAGGCCGATGACGTCATAACGCGGCGCCGAGGTCTGGTCGGATTCCAAGACTCCTCGTTATGCGGCCTTAAAATGCCTCCTTATTTTTGCCCGATTTGAAGGACGGGTCCGCTGTATCCTGCGTAGCCTTGGTTTACCCAGGATTCATTGCGAGACCAAGCAAGCCGGCTGCTCCGTGATCAGAGGAAAAAGGGAAATGGCGCCAAACAGTGGTCAATATTGGAAGTGCAGTTTAATATAATCCAGTCTGAATAGTTCCGTCTGAGATTAATGAAAATAGTTGTTTTAATGGTTATAGAGTCAGATATGTGGCGGTAATGTTTGTTTTGTCTAAAGGTTTTTATCTGTTACTGATTAAATGGGTTTGACTGGAATTTAAGGACAGATTCTAATAGATCTGCAGGGTGGAGACTATAAATCTGATAGTTTAATTTTTTTATTGCTGTTTTGCACAATATGCTTAACTAAGTACTTTTTTGTTGTTTCAATATTAGAAATTTGGAAGATCTATTTTTTATACATACATTGATTAGATTTACTTACATCTGTCAACCCATTTTATAGAATAGAACAGAATAGAAAAAAATAGAATAGAAAATCCCTTTATTGTCCCTCAATGCGGAAATTCTGATGTTTACAGCAGCAAAAAGGTTATGGAAAAAAAATTATCACGCAAATGTGGACCTTAGAAAAATGTCTAAGAATAACATAATAGGGAAGAGTTAAAATATAAACAATAAAATCCTGTAAAGTGTTTTAACAATATAAAATAACCAATATGCAGCTATGGACATTTTTACAGTAATTAGAAAATAGCAGCAACATCAGAGATGTGCAGAATGACAGCAGCAGGTTATTTAACTGACTAAGGTTTCTATCATTACATTTGATTTGATTGGTTCCTGCTGCCGGTGGTTGGAACCTTTATTCCACTCTGGATTCTCATCAGTCCTTGGTCACTTTATAACATAAAATAAA